CATTTCAGGCATCCACGGGGGGAGAGGGGGTGTCTTGAAACGTATCCCCTGTTTTAAAGGAGATATAAAAAAGTCTCTGCCCTAGCTGGTTTGGCACAGTGGATACAGTGTTGGCCTGCGGACTGAAGGGTCCTGGGTTCAATTCCAGTCAAGGGCACATGCCTGGGGTTGCGGGTTCAATCCCCAGTAGGGGGCATGCAGGAGGCAACCTATCAATGATTTTCTCTCATCATTAATGTTTCTATATCTCTCTCCCTCTCCCTTCCTCTCTGAAATCAATAAAAAAATATGTATATATTTTTTAAAAAAAGGTCCCAGCCCTGGCCAGGTAGCTCAGTTGGTTAGAGCATTGTCCCAATATGCCAAGGTTATAGGTTTGATCCCCAGTCAGGGCACATACAGGAATCATCTCTCTCATCAATCAATAAAATTTTTTTAAAAGTCCCAATTCCCCGTTTCTTTGTACTTTCCTTCATCATCTTCTCACACCACATTGTTTACTATTTACAAACATGGAGACATGGAGATCACTCGCTGAGGACACACCCCTTACACCAGGTGCACTCCAGCAGTTAGTGACGCCTGGGCCTGACTTGTGTGATCAGCTGCCTAGAGCACCAGCCTTCCCATTTCCCTGATCTAAACCCTCTTCGCCCTGTTGCTAAAACAGCCATGCCGCTGGTATTCAAAGCCTGCTCCCTGGGTCAGCGGGAGCCGCACAGGCCCACCCCGACTTGCGGAATCAGGGCTGCATTTTACAGGATCCCAGGTGGTGCCCATGTGCATCTCAGTTTGAGAACCCCTGTTCCACGTGGTAACAAAAAGACAGCACATGATTTATAATGTCCTAATGAAGTTTTTGTTTTTCCAAAATAATCAACCTTCAACCTTCAACTTTGTTTTTACAAAACAGGGAACCGTCCGTCCTCTGACTGCTTCTGCTTCCTCATCTGCTAGAAGGGACCCGTATGTTCTCCTGGGCTGTGGCAGGTCCACTCCGGTGCCTAGCTCGGAGCCGGGGACAGAAAGGAGCTCGATCCCCACTTACTTGCCCTCCAAGCATCACTTCCCTCCTCTCTTCCCATAAGCAACCCTCACTTTGGGGTTCAAAAAGATCAAAGGAAACCAAGAAACAGCAATGGAAAGAAAAGAAGAAAACGGAGAACACAGACAACAAGACACACAGGACTGAGCTAGTCTAGGCTCCCCCCGCCAGCCCCCCCCAAATAACCAGTAGACAGTGGGTGCTCAACCACTGCTGTTGCATGGATGTCCTGAGCTGTTAGCATCTCTGACACATCTGCCCTATTTCGAGGTGGACTCAGCTTATTTCATGGCTCTCTGATTTCTACCTTATTAGGATGCCATCCTGCTTTCCATCTGGATGCTAAGTAAAATAATAAGAAAGGTTAGGTTGTCTCAATATTCTCACCTAGCGCCCGCCCCCCAAATGCCCTGTTACACCCACCAAGGACCTGAATGAGTCTCTGAGGAAGGTAATGAACTCTAAGGTTAAAGCACAGAGGTGAGATATCTCTTTGCCAGACTCCTGGGACTAGGAGCAGAGTCCAAAGCAGCCTCGGACACAGGTTCTTGGGTTTAACTACAGCTACTGCCAGATTGCGCGTTCTCTCTCTCTCTCTCTCTCTCTCACACACACACACACACACTCACACACACACACACACACACACACACACAACATGTTTGGAGACTCCAAATTCTAGGGAAATGTAACAAAGGTTATTAACTCGGGCAGCTTACATTCGAAGAGTTTTCCAAAGGGCAGCCCATGTGACAGGAGCAATCTGACAGCCATGACAAATTCGGCTTGATTTGCCCGCGAGCCCTCCCTGTCCATTTAGCTGTGATCACTGAGGCCTCCTGATCCTCGCCGAGGAAATACACCCGGCTGTCCACGATGAGCCTCAGATCTCGCAGACCCAGCGTCTCCGAGCATTCCTGTCCAATGAGCAGAGAGCACCATCACCCTGCGGAGGGGCCTGGAGAGGGGCCGCTTCACGTGGAGGCACACGAGCTCTCTGCCCTGACAGGACCTTGCACAGTGACCTCAGAGCTTCTTTAGAGGAACCAACTGGCAGCATTTGCTATAGGCTACTGACTCCCACAACTTCATCATCATTCAGGCTTCCTTGCTCGCATTTAAAATTCAAAAGTATGAAACTCTGAACTAAGACCAGCCTTTCCTCCTGAAGCCACGACAGTAAACCTAGGCTAAAGAAGGAATGATCCTTTAAATCTTCTGCTGTGTGTCCTGATTCTTCTTTCCAATCTTTAAAAAATGTTTTCATTGATTTTTTAGAGAGGAAGAGGGAGGGAGAGGGAGAGAGGGAGGGAGAGAGAAACATTGATGCAAGCAGGAAACATCGATTGGCTGCCTCCTGCACGCACCCCAACTGGGGATCCAACCCTCAACCTGGACATGTGCCTTTAGCGGGAATCAAACTGACAACCGTTCGGTGCACGAGGCGACCGACACTCAACTGAGCCACACTGACAGGGTGTGCCCTGTGTCTCTATGATCCCTCACTCTCATGTCACACCAACCCGGCACGTTAGACACTTACCCCAAAAGCTCATGACACCGAGGCCTGCTCAGGTCCCAGGGGGAAGCAACAGGCTCCGGAACTGGCTGCCTGAAGCAAGTGCCCTTCTCTGTGCTTTTCTACAGAGCCGTCCTGCTCCGTCAGTTCAGGTTAAGATGGCTGGATTGTTAATGAATTCATTTATCAACCCAACCCCTCCCGAGGATCTATTCTGTGAAAGGGAACAGGGAAATGGGGCAGTAGCTTGAGAAGGAATAGAATCAAGGGCAGTTTCACGTGGTGACATTAAAGACCGCGTATACCCCAGCCAGTCCCGAGTGAGGGACATGCCAGGGGAGACTCGTGAATAGGCTGGGGCAGGGATACGACCCCAGGGGCCTTCTCCCACAGAAAGGGAAAAGGCTCGATGGGGAGGGGCTGCTGGGGGCCTTGGTCCCAGAAGACGAGCACTGACCCTTGCAGAAATGCAGGCGGCTGGGGGTTCGCCCCTCTGCGCACCGTGGCCACCGCTGTTTCGTGCCGGGGCCTGCAGGAAACAGGTGGCCATCTCCATCCGCATCCGGGCAGGAATGGAATTTCTGTGTCACATTCTTCTGATGGGTCTTTTAAGCAAAGGGTGGATCTGCCCCTACCAGTGAAAGGGTTGGTTTCAAAGCTACAGGTAGGATGTAGGCACTTGCCTGTTTATTTCATACAGTTACTGAGCCCAGGTGTGAAAGCCGCTATGAGAACATAAAACCAAATCAGCCTGAACTTGCCCTCAAAGTCCGCTCTCACAGAAGACACATCCACCATTAGGTAAATGAAGGAGGTGAAACTGGTTTGGGAGCTTACGGAGGTAGATTCACTCCAGTTGGGAATAGGATGTCGCCTCCCAGATGTTACTGTACATAATGAGAATCACCTGATAATCCTTTCCTGCGGGGTCTCTTCCGTCTCATAAAACTCTGGGATTCCTTTATCTGACTTCCTTTATGGTTTTACCCTTTAAGCCGGAGAATGTCGCCTCTGACAATAAATCTAGTAAAGATGTTAATCATAATTCTTTTATCAGAAAGATCCAAGGAAATTTCCATCTTGATGACTACAAAAGGTATCGAGCCTCCCATTGTAAGGGTCTTTCTCTCCAACCAGTGGAGAAGATACAGGAAAAAAGGCGTGACACACAAGTGTCTGTGATTAAATCCACTCCCCCAAACGGCCCCACCTTCCAGTGCAGGAATGCCGCTGAATGCGCTTCACAGGAAGCCCAAATCATCCGAAAATAGGCTCGGAGGGAGGAGAGTCCCATCTGACACAGGGAAGAGGATCACACCCGGACATTCCAGCTCGCAAGTTCCTTCCTGGGCAGAGCCCCGCGGCCTCGGGAACACGGCCAGGAGGCCGCGGGGTCCGTGGTGGGGTGAGCGGGCACCTGCTCCCCTCACAGCCTCCGCGCAGTTGTGTCTCCCGGAGCGCCAGGGGAAGAGACCGGGCACAGAGCTCACCACCACCACTCAAGCATGACGCTGCTATGCCCCTGACATGCTTCCCTTTTAATGACCTGCGAGGTTTAAAGTGAACACCGTCACCGGCATCCCTCTGTCCTCCCACTCTGCTCAGGGTCCAGGAGGGTGACAAGGACGAGGCCACGAAAGAATGGGCAGCAGCGGAGGATGCCTTTCTTAATCACTAGCAGTTATTGCTATAACGTCACAAGCAAACAAATGAGAAAGATCATTTTGGAAACACAGAAACAGTCCCCATGAAGGACAGAATTCTATTAACTGTGGAAGGTCGGTTTGAATTCATCAAAAGGCTCAACTGGCAAGTATTAACCAGGCCCTGTAACAACAACACAAAGATGTTCAGTTTTCCAAGGCATAAATAGTAATGAGCGAGGTTAGAAGGTGTTGGCAAGCTGAAGTCCTGGGATACCTGCTTTAACGACGATATAAAATTCTCACAACAAAGTGTACAAACGGCTCCTTTATTTTTTTATTTTTTTAAATATATTTTTATTGACTTCAGAGAGGGAGAGTGAGAGAGAGAGAGAGAAACATCAATGATGAGAGTGAATCATTGCTCGGCTACCTTCTGTACGCCCCCCACTGGGGATTGAGCCTGCAACCCAGGCACGTGTGCCCTTAACTGGAATCAAATGTGGGACCCTTCAGTTCGCAGGCCGATGCTCTATCCACTGAGCCACACCAGCTAGGGCTAAATGGCTCCTTCCAATTGCTGTAAAAGCACATACAGACTCTACAGGGACAATCTTCCCGATAGTATTAACCTGTAGGCTTCTTTTCTATAAAATGTTAGGACAGTTAGTGTCTAGACCAGTGGTTCTCAACCTTCTGGCCCTTTAAATACAGTTCCTCATGTTGTGACCCAACCATAAAATTATTTTCGTTGCTACTTCATAACTGTAATGTTGCTACTGTTATGATCGTAATGTAAATATCTGATATGCAGGATGGTCTTAGGCGACCCCTGTGAAAGGGTCGTTCGACTGCCAAAGGGGTCGCGACCCACAGGTTGAGAACCGCTGGTCTAGACGTTCATAAACTTGGGATCTGGAAAGCCTAATTTAATCAAGAGTTTTGCTAAACTTCTTGCTCCCATAATTAATAATCATAATAGCAAACCAGATAAACATAATAAAAACAGACCAATATAATGAGCCTATCACATGCAGGTGACCTTTAATGCGCATCTACTATGTGAAACATATAACTGTTTACTAGCTGGGCTCTCCCCAGCTGTAGTGCTGGACAGGAGCTGTTCAACCCATTTCACAGATGAGGAAACGGAGTGGTTTCCCTTCGGGCTCACAGCTGGTAGGGGGGTCACGCTGGAATAAGAGCCCCGATCTTGTGACTCCTTCCCCCAGCCTACTCACTGTTCATCACTCCCACCTATTTCCCACCAGGCAACAGGAGGTGAGGCTATGAAAGGCAGTCACTCTGGTTCAGTAGAACGACCATCCTGTCGGATGAGATGTTTGTTTGATTATTTTAAGAAGTCAGAGCAGGAGAGGACTCAGAAACTATATATACACCTTAAACAAGTTACCTTCACTCAAAACATTCACTCCATCTTGTGATGAAGGGCCAAGGCCTCCTCTTTGGATATGGATCTGCTGACCGGAGAGCCATGGTCTTTCTAGCAAAACCAAACCCACCACATCCAATTTCAGGCCCCTTCCAGGAGCATTTCACTACTTGCAAAGAGAAGACTCCTAGAATTTAACCACCACCATGCTCCCTCTTTGTTTATTCTGATGCATCTTAACCACACCTAAAACAACAGGAATATTTTAATAACATTTTTCAAGTCTTTCCAAAACACTGAATGTAGTTTTCAGAAAAACAACTTATTCTCTTCACACTCAAATTTCATCAGCTGCAAAAAGTTTTGGAGAAAAAATAAAAAAGAAACAATTGATCAGCCAGCACAGCACTCCCCTGGACGAAGCAGATGAGGTAGGGGACAAGCAAGAGAGCAATCCTAGCCCCCCACCCAGGACAGGGGGACAGAGAGCCACCGTCACCCCGGCCAGCAGGCCCACAGGCGGCCAGCTAAGAGAGCTTCTGTCACACACACACCTGGGAAAAACACTAAGTGTTCTATCAGAAAGCAGAGTGGTGTGAGAGCAGAAGAAAAGGTGAGACCCAACACACATGGCTCCAAATAACTATGACCTTGGCAAGTCCTGGAAATGAATGGTTAACACAGTGTTCCTTATGCAGCTGCTGCCCTTAGCCCCGGCCTAAGAACACAGAACTGCTCAATAAACTTGAGTTTCTTGGCCACGTTACCTTCCTCCCACAATGCCTGGCAACACGCTTCGAAGTCGAAAGCTCTAGAGATGGATGGGTAGACGGACCGATTTACAGCTGGTCTGGTGGCAGAACTCTAAACACCCTTCCGTTTAGTAACCTGCTTGGCTCAAATGGCCCAAATAGTGAATCAAAAGCTGTATCCTGCACCAGAGGTTTCCCTACTGAAGATGAAAGAATTCTGGTTTTACCCACGAGCACGGAGAGAACAGAGTCGGGATAAAAAGAAAAACAGCCAGCGGGAGAGAATTCGGAAAGCATTGGTCCTGCGTGTTACACAAAAGCTCTGGCTCACCGGTGAATCCATCTTCTTTCTTCCCTCTTCCTTCCAATTGCAGTGACTGACAACAAGGATATATTAGCATGAGTGTGATTGTCCTCCAAGGCGCAGAGAAACGTATAGCCAGCTAAATCCAGGGAAAAGGGTAAATTATTTACATTTAGTTTCCAATAAATAGCAAGTCTCAAAAAGTTAAATGGGTAATAGGTCCAGAAGGGCAACCACATGGTTTGATTCCAAGTACTTAGCATTTCATGAAATGCACAGTTAACTGGAAAGGCGTTTAAACTCTGAAATGAAGCAGGTGCGAGAATCCATGCTTTCAATGGTGAAGGGATAGGAATGGAAAGCAGGCAGAAATGGAAAGCCCTAAGCTCAGCACATCCTAAGATACATTTTTTTAAATGAATCAATCACTCAGTAGAGAAAGCTTTCCCTCACTGTTGATTTTTTATTTACAAAAGCTCCAAGTGCTGAGACACATGGGAAAGCTCGGGAAGAGACACTGGACTCCGGGAAGAAAAACATCTCCAGCTGAAAGCCAACTCATTTCTCAAAGAGTTTAAGCTGATTTCCTTCTTCCTTCAACAACGCTGTCTTCGCTGTCTTCGGTGGGCCCAGCTAAGCTTTAAACATATCCTCAGCTTGTAACATAAGCATTAACTCAACCAATTTGGAAATACGAGTCCCTGAAGAGAGTCTCACTTTCCTTCTGTGTTCTTTCAAGACAATATGCGAACAGTCAATGGACTGTCTCAAAGCCTCAGTTTCCTCATCTGTGAAATGGGGACATAGTGGGCCCCATTTCAGTCAGCTGTTGTGAGAACTAACGATACATAGCAGACTCGGTGTATCTTGTACAATAACTCCTCAATCCAAGGGTGCTGCTATCATTCTCTTTCTCTATATAATTACTAAAAGGAAAAAAGGAGGGGGCGGAGGAAGAATCTTTGAGCAGTAAAACTGGCAGACTGAGAAAAACATCGGTAACACCTAGCGTTAATAAGACACTACACGTTTTATAACCTACTGGATTATAGCTAATAGCTATTTTCTACATGATTTTAAAAGCATCTGCACTATGACACATACCTTCTTTAAACAGAAGGAATTTATGTACATTTTCAAGAACTACCTCAAATTCAAACTACATTTGCATACTATTTATGTTCTATGTATGTGTTATGTAAGTCATGTTTGACTACATCTAGATTTGGGTCTTTTGTGTACCAGGATTTTTTTGGCCTTTATTAGATATCAGAGTTTCTGTGTTTACCAGTTTTTATCCTCAATAAAGCAGGTTCTAATATACAAAGAAAGGTGTGTGCACTGGGGAGAGGGCAGGTGTTGAAATGATACCATTCCTTCTATCCCCATTATCATGTATTAGCCAATTTCAAAAGTACTAAGAGAGAAACAATTTCTCAATTCTTCCTGCTCTTCAGCTGGTCAGCTGTGAAATGAGGCAATCCCATGAGTTTTCTGAAGTAGGAGTAAATAGACATATATTTGGTAACAGAAGACAGGATCCAGGCTTAAGGTCATGTACATGGAAATCCACTGTAAATAAAGTTTTATTGAAACACAGCAGGCCCATCCATTTACCTATTTTCTATGGCTGCTTTTGCTCCACAACGGCAGAGATGAGCAGCTGCAACAAAGAAACCATGGTTCTCAAAGTTTCAAATATTTACTCTGTGGCCCTAAGTGGTACAAAGCATTGGAACCCCTAGGAGTACATGACATTATCAGCAGGAAGCAGCCCTTACCCTAAACAATGCTCTCATGTGGCACAATGGCAGAGAGGACAGGGGCTCTGAGACGGGGACTGTGCTTCCCACCAGCGTTGGTGACCACATGACCCTCAGCTCCTCCGGCTACACACTTAGGGCATCCCTACCTACTTCACGAGGCGGTCATGAGGATCAACCCCCTACAACCAAACCCGGTATCCCTGTGGCGACCTGTTCATGCTAACTGTCCACCATCTACCCTCCCCCAGGCACAGTTACTGAGTAAGCATTCCGGACTAAATATGAATCATGGAGACCTTCAGCCATGAAGGCACCTATCACCACGATCTAAAAGGATCATAGCGCCATCATCCAAACGAGGGGTGCCATGCCCTGTTCTGTGCTGAGTCCCAGAAAGTGAAGGCTCGGGATTTTATGCCGAGCTTGGGAAAAATACTGAGAAGCGTTTCAGGATGGAACCCTTCAAAATCAAATTGCAGGCCACCTCCTGGGTATGGAGAAGACCCAGAGCTCAGCCACCCAGAGTCTGACTTCGAACCCTGCGTGTTTAACCTTATTAATAGCCAGCCAGAGCTGTAAAGAGATTATGCTTAAAGGGCTGTGAAATGACGCTCCTGTGGCTTTGCGCTGATAGGAGGGGTGACTCCAGCCAGAGCAACAGCAACGACCAGGAACCAGACCATCGAATACTGCGCAGGGCAGATGCTGGGCATGATGAAATCACGGCAATGTCCTAGGCCAGGAGTAGCCACGTCTCCTCAGCCCTCTATACTGTCCCCCCTTCCCAGCCCCCCTTCTATGACATTTGCAACCAAAGCCATGCACAGCCTTCCATCACCCCAAAGCAACTGATCCTGCAAAACAAATCCCACAAGGTGGGCAGGTCAGGGGTTGGGTGTCAGTTTCACAGTTGGGGAAACCAAGGTTCAGAAAGGAGGTGTGGCCTGGGAGCAAGGTCCCAACTATCTGACTTACCCGCCACTCCATATCCATCCCCGGGGCCCAGCAGGCACTTGGCAGTTAATACAGGTGCTCGGTTAACTATTGTTTAGGGCTTGCATGTAAACCCCAACTCCTCCTTCCACTAGCCATTAACCGTGGGGATATTCATTTACCCTTCATTGCCCAAGTTCATTCATCTGTGAAAAGGGAATAACAGTAACCTAACCACATAGGGTTGTTGTGAGGCCTAAATGAGTTACTACGGGTGAAGTCCTTAGAACAGTGCTGCTGAATCGAAGCTGCCTGACTTAAAGCCAAATCTTCGGACCACTTTTTGCTTCTCATTTGCAGTCATTCCCCAAACACGCACACAGCAGTTTTAAAAATTATAGCCTGAGATAGGCCCCCTCCTAGGATGTCAGCATGAAAGCGCCAGGCAACAAGAGCCTTTTTCAAAAGGAAGCCTGCCTTACGCTGATAACGTGCCTCAAAGTAAGCAGATAGCACCAGTCAGTCACACGCGGGCGTCTCAAATGAGAACTGGAGTTTGACGTGCCCCTCCAAGAGCATTTCTTTAACACACATTTAGCTGATATGTAGTCTGTAGAGCAAATATTATATGGAACTGCTCTACCTGCCTCTAGTGACCAAACATGGTCCCCATGGCCACTGGGTGTCATCGATGACTGCAGTTGGAAACCTTTTAGAGCAGTGGTTCTCAACCTTCCTAATGCCGTGACCCTTTAATACAGTTCCTCATGTTGTGGTGACCCCCAATTTCATTGTACAAATTGAACATAATTAAAGCATAGTGATTAATCACAAAAATATGTAATTATGTATGTGTTTTCCGATGGTCTTAGGCGACCCCTGTGAAAGGGTCATTCGACCCCCAAAGGGGTTGCGACCCACAGGTTGAGAACCGCTGTTTTAGAGTAAAAGCATTTCTCTGGGGTTCTGCCCTCTGAATAAGGCTGCTGACCATTCCTGACGGCAGAGGGCCCTTCCCTGAAACCACAGGCCAGATACAGACAATGCAGAGGTGTTCACAAGAGACACGGATACTTCCACTGCTCGGGGACATACGTCTCTGGGGTCACCTCGTGCCAGCGGACCCCCTTTTAGGAGATGAGACGACACGCGTGGCTTTCTGTGAGGATGCCGGGACGGTCTACAGTCAACAGACCCACTAGCAGTGACTTGCACCAAAGCCGGTTGAAAACTGAGAAAACCTTAACTCTTGCCGGCCTGAGTGCCCACGGGAAGCAGTGGGCGACGTGGCAGCTGGAGAGGACGCCTGTCCCACCACAGGCTCTCGGGCAGAGCGGCATCTCCTGGGGCTGTTCACATTCCAGAGCCCCCCGGCCGGGCGGTGCTTCCGGAAAGGTCTTACTGCCGCCCACGCGAGGTGCTGAGGCGGGTCCTTGGCAATGACCTGCCAGCGAATGGGGGAGCCTCCACTCCAAAGGCAGGAAGGGCAGCCTGAAGCAGTCCTGCTGCCAATCAAGTACCGAGGAGGAGAGTCTGCCAAACGAATTATTAACCTGTTTGTCAATGTTTGACCCTCTTCCCCATCCAGTTTTCATTGTGAAGAAACGCGTCCTTGGCAAAGAAGAAATTCACTGTTCTGAGAAGCGTGGCAGGCAAATGCTCCCGTCCCCTCTCTCCCCATCTCTGCCACTTGCCCTGGAGGGAACAGCCGCACTGTAAGTGGAAGGCGTGCGAATGAATGACATAGCAGGAAAGTTCTGCATCCCTCCCCACAGATCAGAAGAAATGACAAATCAAAATGCTGGAGAATTTTAAGAAACATGGGAATTTCATAAAGTAGAAACACTCAAAGGTTCACATTAAGCCTGGGCGGTGTTGCTCAGTGGTTGAGCACTGACCTATGAACCTGGAGGTCACAGTTCAATTCCCTGTCAGAGCACGTGCCCGGTTTCTTTAGGGGTTGCTTCCCAGTAGGGGGCGTACAGGAGGCAGCCGATCAATGATTCTCTCTCATCATTGATGTTTCTCTCTCTCTCTCCCTTCCTCTCTGAAATCAATAAAAATATATTTTTAAAAATCAATTTAATAAATAAATATTTTTAAAGTTCATATTAAACCATATGAAGTACAGTCTTTTATGCCAAGTTCCCCAGAAGTCAAGAGCCTTTACCGTAACCCAGCTCAATCACTACTAGCAAGGCGGCCTTCGCCAGCTGGTACCTTTCTAGGCCTCGGTTGCCTTAGTAATAAAAGGAGGGCAAAATCCATACGACTGTTCTGTGGTTAAGTATCTACCAGTGAACATGAGAACACCACCTCCCACCAACCTGTGAAGTATCTTCTGCCTGTTTTAGACAGAAACAACCTGAGGCTCAAAGAACTTTAAAAACTTGCTCCAGGCCACAAAGAAAGTGACAGAACAGGGTGTTGGGCTTGAGTT